GTGACCTTTTAATACTTGAATGATTTACAGGTCAGTGTTAAGTGGTTTAATAAACAAGCGTTCCTCTTAAAATGATGGATGATGGACTGAAAATGCAGCCAATGTCCAAAGAAAAAGAGTAAGTAACCATGTTTATGGTCTCGGGCGATTATGTCCATGCATGTCAGTAACTCAGGACCGAAACCTAGTGAGGAATCATTACATATGGTGCATTTTCCTATTGTATCCATAATATTGTTGACATTTTTATTTACTCCAATAAACGTATGAGACTATTTAGGAAAACCAAATGAATCAATTTGAGTGCAATCTGTGGAATTTCCCCCATTGAAAGAGAGGATATTTAAAGGTTAATGTACAACGTTGTGCTCCTTACTCATTGTGTTTTCACGAAATCCTGTGGACTTTTGAATACAATGAATCATCAAACGTAGACAAAGTGCAAAGAGGAAGCGATGTGGAGTAAACGTCATTAGACTGAAAGGGCACCGAATCCACAGGAATAAATAGCAACAGAAGGCTGATTATTGCATGTGGTCGCCTGCCGTAAATATTTCCCTGTAGCTGGCATCCAATAGTGTGAATATCCATAAATGGCATGAAAAGTGCTTTAATAATGTGCTTTTTCGCAATCTGATATTTGTTGAGGTGTTTGAGTTCTTGGTTGAGTCAATATATAAAGTAAATACTTGTTAAAAACCCAATCATGACATCAGAAATGGGAGATTTGGATAGAGTTTGATTGGTGCATGCTGATTGCATTGTGTTTGCAATCAGGACAGGAGAGTGAACAGGTGGAAGGAGCAGAGAAAATTAAGAGTGCAGCACACTGATGAGACACGAAAACAGCTGGAAAATTGAGGAAGAGGTGAGCATCAATAAAAGGCAAGACAAAAGTGACTCGGCAGGAGCTGCGATAGCAGGGTTGGTAAAGTTTAAAAATTAAACTAACACGTCAGCATAAAGTCTGGGATACTCTGAGTGCTTCATAGACACGGTTTTTCCTCAAGGTTTAGTCCCTGCTGCTTAACAACAAAGCTGAAGAACTCAAAAAGACATCATTAAATGTCTCTTTAGACTCTTTCTCTCCTAGGGAGCTTTCTTAACTAACTTCAATCATTTCTTCCTGTAATGATCCACGTGTCTCTTAGGCTGTTCAACAAAGTCTTGCTATTAATTAATGCTACAATATTACATACAATAGAGTTATCTCTATCAGCAGAGTGTGCTCCATAGACTTCCAAGGTGGCTGTAATTACAGCACTACTTTAAAGTCTGTCATGGATCCACCTGTTTTAGTGGATGTTCACAAGCCGAACAAGGGTCAGCGATCAGATGACATGCACGTTTCCACCCGTGTGATGGTGTTGCACACAAAGGGTCAGATTACTAACTGAATGTAGCTGAGTGCTTTAAATCTTGCAGCCGTCTCCGATTCCCTAGCTTACACTTTTTAATGCCCAGTTGCCAAGAAGTGACTCGTAGAGTTTGACGTTAAAACGAAAAACTAAAATGAAACTAAAAATCAGCCCATGTGATAGCAGGGCTCAAAGAATGCAGCGACAGCCAGCGTGCTGCTCTTTTGTACAAATGACCCCAATTTAATGGCCTGTTCTTGGTCTCTCGTTGTCCTCCACATCTGCACCATTAATCATGAAAATTGAATATGTTTTGATCGGCACAGCCGGTTGGATAAAAGGAGAAACTTTTAGATATCAGCTTGGTTTCTTGGAAATGGTTATCACTGCTGATATTTTATCAGTAAATTTAAAAAAAAACAAAAAAACCTCACAAAACTGCAACTTTAATCAAGAACGAAAAGAAAACGACCTCTTCGTTCAACAGAAAATCCAAAAAGTCCAAATGTTTCTTAGAAGTTGTAGCTGGAAACTAATGTAACCGCCGCCCCGCTGTTGTTGCCGTTTAAATTCATTTTGTTAATCCACTTCTGTGAAGTGCTCATGTCTCTAGCTTTAGTTTGTAGTTCTCTCTCTTTTATAGGAGCTCCACCACAGCACCAGCTGTGGTTACAGAAAAGATGTCTGGCTCCAATTCAGAAACTCCTCAGTGACCCCGTTCAAGCCATTTGCTAGTCTCCAGTCTTATTTTATTTTAAAACAGTCATCTAATTGGCCCGTGATTACTTCTGAGTCATTTTAGAGGCGCACAGGACCGTGCTGTTCCAACAGTGTGGTTGTCACTGTTATTGCAAGCTCATAGACATGCAACTTTTGGTAACAGGCTGGTCAGTCAGCAGACAATGATCAGTGTGTTCAGGCTTGGGCACCAGGGAACTGGGACAATGGAGGAGCACTAATGTGTTTATGCATCGGGTGCACATAAGCTAGTATTTAGATGCATGTCTCCGCGCGTGGTGCTGTTCTATAGTTCGTGCAGATTAGCTGTCGTGCTGCCCTCTCTGTCTGCGTCTCTCTATCAGACCCACCCCGAGTCTCTTTGTGCTGTGCACACACAGACCTGAGCAGACAAAAGCTCTCTTGTTTGTAGAGCTGGAATGCGTCATGTGGTACCTCACCTTTGAACTTTGACCTGATCGAGATGTTTGGTTCAAAATGTAATATTTCATAGTATCATCTGATTTATTCACACTTACGCTTTTTTTTGTTTGTGTTTTTACATTCAAACATTTACAGTTTTAGTCATTTTACAGTTTTACAAAAGTTGTGTTCTGAAAATATTGGCATCAGTAGCATTATTGACACTTCATATTTCCTCCAATGGCTTAAAATGGGGAGTGGAGTAGTTAAGGTAGTGATATTACTTTACTGTAATAGGCCTAGGTTGCTGGGGTTGCCCCATGATGCAGTGAGCATTTCTTTTTCACTCTCTGTTGTATTAAACACCAGTATTGCAGTTATTCATTACTCAACTGTGGCTCTGTCACGCATAGTGTGTCTTTTGTCCTGTTCTTCTCTGTGCTCGCTTCCCCCTCCCATCAACCCCAACCGGTTGTGGCAGATGGCTGTCCCTTCCTGAGCCTAGTTTTGCCGGAGGTTTCTTCCTGCTTGCTCATAGGGGGTGATGTGACCGCCAGTGTTTCTATTATTGTAGCGTCTTTACCTTTACGATATAATAAAAACCTTGAGGTGACTGCTGTTGTAAACTGGTGCTATATAAGCTGAGTTGAGTTGAATTGAAGGGACTTGCTGTTGCAAGTACAATACAATGGAAGTCAGCTTAAAAGTTATTTTACTCATGGTGTGTTTTATTTATCATAATTAGCGGTGACACCATGGGTGCAGTGGGTGGCTGGTTTGATGAGCATCCCTGCTGTCACAGATTAGTGCAAGCAGTCCTCTGTTGACCGTGCAGCGTAAATACAATGAATTATGACTTTTAAGCAATTTTTTTCCCCATGAGCTTTCACATAAGGAAAAGATATATATATAAATCTTATAAAGTTTGTATCTGTCTTGTGTGAAACTTGTATGAAAAGCAAATAAGAGTGAAAACAGATATAAGATCCCTTGAAAAATTATATAATGAAACTTGTATGTTTTGGATACTTACTAAAACAATGTATGAAAGTAATGAGAAAGTGGCCACTTTCATGAGTAATCACATATAAGTTTTTACTATTTCTTTTCCATATGGGTTGGGTGAGCTTATAAGTTCATTCGGTGGAAGAGTCATCACTTGCTATCATGTGAATACTGCAGTAAAAACTTACTTGGATCAGGTAAACATTAACACTGTTTACCTGCTTCAAGTACAGGCCTACCACCACTAAGGTAAATGTTACTGTTTGAGGAAATGTGGTATCTCTGTGTCTTTTAACAAAGTAATTAAGTAATGGATACACAACTAAATGACAGATAGGTGCCCGTTTTTCACAATCTACTTTAGAAATGTTTGTTTTTTACAATAAGTCCACAGTTTTGGGAAAAAGGACATTTTTATTTTTTTTTGTGAAGAACAAAAACTTTCTGTATTATAATTACTTGAAAATCTGGGCATCGAGCTACCAGCGCATCTTCTTAAATTTTGCACATTTATTTCTTGCACATGTATTCCTTACATTTAAATTGTAAGGCCTGCTGACAGGTTTCCTTGATTTACTGCAGCAATATTTCTTTGTCATGTAGAAAAACGGAGACATTCTGTTGAAAGTGCACTTCTTTTTTTCTGATATGGAGACGTCTCAGGGTTTGAATGTGTAGTAAACTGGTTTGGCCCAGTTGAGATCAAAGTAGGCTGTGTGTGGCCCATGATGTAAAGTGAGTTTGACATCCCTGGATGACAGTGGCAAGACCTCCTGAATTTTTTTCTATCTTCAAAATATATTTTTGTTGTTTTAATTGAAAGTACAGGATTTGGAGCCCAGGAGATGTTTGTTGTACCCAATCCAATAATCTGGACTCTGGGTAGGCAGGTAGGAGTGGGAGCAGAGGCAGATTGAGCTAAAATGGTGAGATGTTTGTGGTCCTTGCGTCTGCTTTCTGCTGTCGTCTGTCTGATGATGTAACCGCCCGCTACGCCCAGGTTGGGTTACATCTGTTATGTTTAACATGCATTAAAGTCATCTTAAATAAAACATGTGACTGACTGCTATCACAGTTTATGGGACCCTTGTAAAGCTGGCTTACAGGAGTGCCTGCTCTCCTCCCTCACTCAGAAATAAATCAATAAAAGGGGAAAAAAAACCAGTCGAAGACAGAAACTAAAAACTTGGAAAACATTCCCAGTGTTCTTCACAGCTTTTTTGTTTTTGAAGTTTGTGCCTGCTTCCTAAATGCGTGCTCAAAGTTGTAAATGCGTCAAATTCATGTTGCAGCTGATAACATTTGAATCCCATCAGCTGCTCGGCTCACCCTTCATGTGTTCTCCTCACACCCTTTGTAGAGATCAGGTTGCAGTGAAAGGTGCTGTGAGGACATGGGTTTTGTTTTTCTGCGCCGCCTTACAAAAATGTATTGAATTACTGCTTTTTTTTTTTTTTCTTTTATAAATTTTTATTTAAATTGTTTCTCATCCTCTAGCTGGTGACAGTGCTGGAACGAGCGGCGGGACCAATCCGTACTACATCGCCTTTGTGCTGGTGCCTATTCTCTTCCTTCTGGGCCTGCTCGGTGTGGTGATCTGTCATGTGCTGAAAAGGAAGGGCTACCGGTGCACCACAGACCATGATGACGAGGAGGAGTGTAAGGAAGAGGTCAAAGATCCCGAGCTGGGCGGAGGTAAGGTTTCAGAGATTCTGGGAGGTCATTGGAGGTTCTGAGAAATTTGACAGTATCGTTGGATTTATGTTTTTATTGAGTCTAAAGCTTAAATCATCCATCGCCTATATACAATACAAGCCAAAGATTATCCCACAGCCAGGCTCATATTAATCCAAGTGGACGTGAGGGAGGGCAAAGACGATTGTTACATTGTGTCGTTGTGTTGCTGATGTGTCTTCTCAGTAAAAAAAGGGCCTTTTTTTTCTTCTTTAAATAAGGCAAGCCAAGGTAACACCAGTTCATTGTCAAAGATAGGACCGGTTAAATTAAAACAAGCCTTACAGATTCAATTTAGTTTTGACCCAGTTTTAACAGGAAGAAACCTCCAGCAAAACCAGTCTCAGCGAGGGCCTCGATCATTTGGCGGATGCGGGGGAAAGGAGGGGGAAAAGAAAGAGAAGACAAAAGAGAGCGCAGGGAGACGGGACAAAACCCAGACTGAGGGAGACAGAGGGCAAAAATGTAATGATATGTTGCAGCGATGCATAAACACGCGGGCAGTTTGAAGAGGTGAGTGGAGGAGTACCGCTCAGTGCGTCACGTGAAGTCCCGCAGCGGGTTGAGCCTGTTGCAGCATAACAAAGGGAGGCTTCTGATTCAGCCCTGACTGTCAGTTTTATCAAAGAAGAAAGTTTCAAGCCTAATCTTAAATGTAGAGATTGTGTCTGTCTCCCAAATTCAAAACTGGGACCTGGCTTCACAGTTTCAGTAGCAGAACATGACTATGATGCAGATCCAGGCGTACCCGGCCTCCTGCAGGCAGTGTCAGTGTTGTCGGTCCTTTAGCTTAGCCTCTGCACAACCGAGAAAACAATGAAATCAGTTCTTTTCACCCACTGTCTCTATTTCCCCTTTCTTTTGTTTTAAACATTTGTCATCTTTTTGGACCCTGCTGACGCTCCATTTCCAGCGTGAGACTGTGATTCAGGTCTCATGACATGTTGAGCTGGCAGCGCGATTAGAGCTGTAAACCGAGAGGCTCAATTGTGTGCATTGTTTACCTCAAATCCCTTACTCATCCAACGTCCACATGATTCGAGGCACTGCGTAAATACGCATTGCTCGTCATAAATACTATCGTTAACTGTTTCATCATCTAAAGGATTTAAAGTATTTATGATCACGCCTGTCCACGTCTCAGTAAATCCACTGCGATGCTGTCGCACAGCAGTGGATTTTTTTTTTTGCACGAGTTTCCAAATTAGTCATCGGCCCATGTGATCTTTTAGATTTGCCTGTCATGTGGTAATAAGACGTCTAGAAGGCAGAAATCACCTTCGTTCTGGTGCTTTCAACCCTAGACTACATTCCTGAATCTAATTACTTCGTGTGTGTTACTTAACGTAGACGCAGGCGGTGGCGTGTGACGTGAATGGCATCTCAAAGCAATAGCATTTCAAGCTCTTCCTGTATAACAGACAAACAGACTGAACTTTACGTTATTCGGTGTTTATGCGTTCAGAAGATGAAATAGACAAACGTGAGCTTAGGAATGCTTTTTTGGAGGTTGGGGTGCATTTTTAGAAGGGCTGTCATTTTATTTGGAAGCAGGCCAGCAGAAACCAGGAAGACTTTTAGCATTCCCTTCATCCATTCATGTGGAGTTCAGTGAGGTGGAACGTAATTACTGTGGGATTTGTGTGCGCACTTCACTCAGTTTCCCTCCTTCTACATCTGCCGTGCCTGCTCGTCTGTCGTTCTAGTAATTCTTGAGCGCATATGTGAAATCTCTGCAATCACCCTGGCTCTGTCGCAGGCATGAGAAATGTTATGGAACGAATAAGCTGTTTACGCTGCGCTGTCCAACTTCCTGCCATCACGCAATGCACCGCACGCCCGTGTTTTCCCTTACATATGATGTCCCCACCATTCCCATTAATCTTTCCAGTTAACTGTGTGAATTACAACTCAGTTTCTTATGTCAAGAGCTGGTATTGGAAAGTACAGGCGTGAAGCGGGTTTCGCTCATTGAGTAAGTGCAAGCTCCTGCTGCTGGCAGCACAATAGTCATGAGTGCATTAGGGTTTTTCCCGGCCATCTATTTGTTTGTGTGTGTTTGTTTCTTCAAAAAGCCCTACCCTATCGTACGTTAGAACAAAAACACAACACTGCTTTGTGTTGCGGCCTCGCTCGGTCAGTCAGTCAAGTGTTCCCTTTTTTTCCTCCTCAGTGTCAGGTTTCCTGCTCAGCAGTCAGCCTCGGCATACCAGAGGATTCCAATTGACGTTTATCAGTAGCGAGGAAAAACTGAGGAAGCAATCAAAAGGAAACTCCAGGAAGTGCCTCACAGGGGTGTGTGCTGACCAGTGGATTTGTTCTGCATAGTTGAATGATTACTGCGACGAATTTGCAATATTATAGAAATCCGACAATTTCCTTTTGAGAAATGGCAGGAAGTAACGTCCGGGGACGGCGTGAGCGAGGGACAGTCATTGATTCTTCCTGGCAATAATCACTCAAAAGGAACATTTTAGCTCTGTGTGTGATCGATAAACATCTGCCACAGAAGCGTTATAGTTGTGCTAAAACATATTTCTGATGTCAACAATGGATCAAAGTGCGATACGGTATAAGGGCCACAAAAAATCCACTGTGAATTTTCCCCGTCCCTTTAGCTGTACGGAGGCTTTTAGCATCAGCTCGGCTTTACTTTGCTGTTTTGAATGCTCCTTTTCCTTTAAGGCCACCTTCCCCTTTAAGCAGACTTTCTTCTTCTTTTTTCTTCTTCTTCTTCTTCTTACAAACGAAAAGCTTTATTCCTGAGAAGTTATAGAAATCCACTAACTTCTCTCTGTGCCATCCTGTAAAGCCAAGAATAGAAGAACATGCATGGAGAGTATTTTTACTAAAGTCTGCGCTTCTAATTCTCTCTATGCATACTCTACACACAACATTGTAGTGTGTAATGTGTATAGTACAGTAAAGTAAAGGAGAAAGTGACTGGAATTAGTTCAGTGCAGCATGAGCAGGAGACTGCACTGACTGAACTGGTGCTGTGCTTTTACCCGCCTTGATTTGTTTATTGCTGACCACTACTTACCCACGATTTAAATACCAGCTTTTATATGAAAATTTACTGAAGCGCCATCTATTTTTTATCCTCTGATCCAACTCAAGGATGCCGCCTGCCCCAGCTGTCACTACTCACTTACACGGACCAGTTTCTCTTTTCTGCTCGTCTCCATAATTTTCCTTAAAACTGCTTTGATCGTTTGCTCATACCGAGGCTGCTTGTGGCTAGCTCTGAGCTCTGGATAGCTTTAGCTTCAGCCACGTTGCCTTTGTTAAAATTCTGGGTGAGGGTGATTTAGGTGTCTGATTAAGATTAGGATTTTCACTTTGGAGATTTTTTCCGTTTTCACTGATGTAGAAAACTAAACAGTGGAAATCTGCAGTTGTTTGCCCCTCAGTGCCTGGCATAGTTGTGTGAGGCTGACTTTCTTTCAACATGTATCATGTTTCTGTAGCGGGCGATCCTTCAGCTCAGTGCTTAATAATACTGATGTTTCTATTCGTGTGTGTGTGTTTTTCCAGAGCTCAATGACACCTTCAGTGACTACAATGACACGGTTGGACAGATTGTCCACTACATCATGAAAAATGAAGGTATGTATTCAAGGCTTTGTGTTTGTTTTTTGCATAAGAGCACCTGTCATTTCTGGTTGAAGGTGTGAACCTGTGACTTTGGGGAAATGGCCCCTGTTTGTCCTCCTTCCCTGAAGCGATTACAGCTGGCATTATTGTTTGGTACATTGTCACACGCTACTCGGGAAGGAAGTCAGTTGTGGACTCTGAGCCGTGCGTGTTTTCTCAGACGAGTCTGGCTCAGAAATGAAGCTTTTAGTGGAAGTTCACATTCAGGACAACGGCAGAAGAATCTGAGACCATTTGTTATGACGTAGGTGTTTTCACGCTTTCGAGTACAAGTCACACGAGTGTTTCATCTGCGATTTCATCCCGTTCCTTCCCTTTGCAGGAAGCTAAATTCATGATAAATCACTGCAAACGCTTTGTAGCGTGTTATCCTTTGTAATCCTTTGTTGAGCCGCGTTCAAACGCGGCAGCAGCAGAGACGAGGATCGATGGCAGTATTGTGCGAAACATAAACCAGCTTGATTTGTGGCATCGTAGGTCTTTACTGACAGTGTGGATTGTTTTCCACAGCACCAATAAACTTCCCATAACTGTGAAGCGATGTTGAATTTAAAGAAGGGTAACAGCTGTCTGTGACTTGGCTCCTTAAGAGAGGATGCTTTCGTGTAATAGAAGACGCCCTGTTCCACTTGTTCACCCCCACCAAAGTCAAATATGCACATTTTTTTTCCACTGGCCTGCAGAGCAGTTTATCCATCTTGATTATTTAGTTTTGAGTTGCTCCGGTTTTGTAAATACTGGCTGTAGATGTTTGCCTGCTTGTGAATAAAATGAAACTAAATTGCAGGAGCACTTTGCGTTGTTGTGCTCAAGAAAACAGCATCTCTTCAAGAAGTCACGAGCCCGTTACTCAGGAAAAAAGAAATGCACAAGGTAGCGATAGCATTATTTTCCTTTTTTTGGACTGAGCAGTGTTTCCATCCTGTCACAGCTTGAGCCTCGTTTCACAGGTAGATGGACGCTTTCTTGTGCACAGTGACATGACTGGTGAAAGACAGCAGTTCCTATATATTTAGTAACGAGGTCATGGCTTCTGCAAGGAGACATTGCTGCAAGAAATGTGTCATTTAGTTCCATTATGTTCAAGAGAAGACAGCTGATGGCTCCAAAACTTGGCATCTCACACCGATCTATGGATGGCAACTAGCACCACAGGGCAAAGGAACAAAAGTGTTTTGGGGTTGTTTGGGTTTTTTTTCACGATATGGTCTTTTTAAAAAGTTGAAAAAATGCAGATGACTCAGTCTAAAGTTCAGTTTTAGGTCATTTTTAATCTGGAACTTTTCAAACGAAATATTTACTTCATAGGTTTTCTATTTTTTTTTCCTCTCATGCTACAAACAGACCGGCTGAGACATTTATTTGCCGTTAGCTCTGATCAGCATTTTAAGAATTAGGTGTTTAACACAGAAGTGGCACTACCTCTTGCAGCGGAGGAGGACAAAAGGATTTATTCAAGTCTTTTTGCGGAGCCCGGTCTGAGTTCAGGATATATGTCTGTACAAGCTAAGAGTCAAAACAGGCTTTTAAATGCTAAGGCAGAGAATTATACTGAGGAAAGAGAAGAAAGAGACGGTTATACTTTGAAGATTATACAGTAAAAGTTAGCAGCGTTCTGCACCAGCTGTTAGGACGCTGTGTGTAGTCTAAGAGGCTGGAAAAGTAGCTGTTCACCCCGGTGTTTGGAGGGTTGAGGGCAGACAGAGGACTCGGTCTTTGACAGCGCTGCTCAAACTTTCCACCAACACTGTTACCTCACACCACTGTCCAAACGTACTGGTAGCAGGACACATTTATCAGAACGCCACCATAACTGAGACAATTATTTACTTGAATTCTCGAACACGAAAAATTAGTCTTACTGGTTTAATGTTGTGCTTAATTAATTACTGACAAGAATTCCAGTGTGCCGGCTCAAATTTGGTATAAAATGCATATTTGCCTAATGAATAATAATAATACAGTGGAACGCCGACTTACGAATACCCCGTTTCACGAAAAATTCAAGTTACGAAGGCACTGAGCGGCAACATTTTTGCCCGTGTTACAGCAAAATGCCCGCGTAACAAAATCTGCTGGCTCTGATTGGCTGAGCCTACAATGCCCACAATGCCTTCCGAATCATGTGACAACCCCTTGGCTTCAGTACTTGCGCTTCGCTGTTCCACTTAGACTACGTATTGTTGTTCTAGCTAGCAACTAACCTATAGCCCATCGTTCAGCATCGCCTCAGTCAAAACGGGCGATGGGTGCTTCGACTTACGAAAGACCCTCGGGAACGAATTAATTTCGTAAGTCGGGGTTCCACTGTAATATGATTTTTTGTTTTAAAGAAGTTTTTGACAGGCTTGTAAAATATTTCTGTTTTATTGGTTTTATGCCCGGTTGTTTACTAATCCCCGGGCCACAGACCGGTACCAGTCCGTGAGTCTCGAGAGTTGAGGCGTGAAATTTATGGTTTTCAGGGTTTTTATTGTTAACTCGGTTTCCCTGGGTCTTTTCCCGAATTGTAGCTGTGTGTCTTATTTTAAAGAAATATTTACACGTTACCATAGCGACCAGAGAGCATTAAGGGGCAGAGAGGAGGATGTTACTCTCAATGTTGTTGGAGGACACTGTTAATAAAGTTACACAGTGAAATGACGTTTATTATTATATTTACAAAATACCACAGTTTTTGTCTTGGTCGTATCATTTTAATTTGCTGGATTTATCCGCGACACCTTAAAGGCCTGTGAAAATATTGTCTGACATTAAACCGGTCCATGGTGCAGCAAAGGTTGGGAACTGCTGCCGTATAGCACCCATCTATAAGAAGTTATATCATATAAGAGTTGAAAATGTGCCATGTCACTATTGATTCTTTAAGTGTAATTCAATATTGCACTTTGACCCAATCCTGTGATACACAAAGGCTGTATCGTCCCATGTTGGTGACTGGCCATCATTGTCCTGAGCTGTACGTTTGCTCTGAGCTGATTCACGGCTGTTTTATGAAGCAGTCATGCTCGTAGGATTCTGATTATCGTGACTCGCCTCCACGCTGTCAGTCTGCTGTGGAGTCAGCACGTCATTGTGCTCTCTATTTATAAATATCTGTTTTACTACACCTTCTCTCACCCTTCAACATTGCTCAACTGATGGAAACTTGGCCGATGGTTAAGATTTAAAAAAGAAATCTCTGTAGCTGTTTTTTTCCCCCTCTCTCTCTAATGAAAACAGGAAGTTGTTGTGTCCACTCAACATTTTTGCAGCAACAGCCGTTTCAGTCTAAATAAAGAGAGGAGGAATTGAATGCTATAGCGTGCACCGCTCTGATGGCTGATCAGACAAAGGAAAACACTGCCCTCTACTGATCAAACAAAGGAAAAGTCACTACCATGTTTGCAACCAGTGGGAAGTACTTGAACATGTACAGTGTGGAAAAACTTTACTCATTTTTATTGGTATTGTTGGTCAGATATCATTTAAAAGTAAAGTTCTTCATTATTTGAAGTTAATTTCACTTTATATTTTCCACCTGGTTTTCCACACCCAGTAGTGGGTCCCACTCCACAGTTTAAGAACCACTCAGCTACACTATTAAGACAAGTAAAGAAGAGAAGAAGATGTTTGAGAGTTTGAAAGCTAAAGAGTTGCTGAAATGTTTACTGCAGTTTGCTTCGGCAGTGTCACATACGTTACCTCACATTTAGGCACATAACTGCATGTTTTTAACCTCAAGATTATGTTCTAGGAATATTTCAGAAAGTCTTTCAGGGAAAGTTGCCTTGAAGTTGAAATCTTCAAAATGATCTTCAGGGAATGTTTTGTAAAGGGTTACAAAAAAAATAATTTCCTCAAAATTATCCTTTTTTCATCCAAAAGTTTACTTTGTAAAAGACTTAAAGGAACATTATCCGTTTCTAAAGTGATGACATAGTGACCCCTTTTTCCAGGTTAGTTTCACCTGGTTTCCAGAGTGGGTGTCATTATTTAGTTAGCAAAAATTAAGCTAAAAATTCAGGAGCAGTACACAGTTCACTACTTCCACGAGTTTAGAGGTTAGCCAACTGCTGCTAGTCAAATACACATGATTAATTTACCATCAGCAAGTGTGAGCGCCTCTATAAAAGCAGAGGTTTTGATAGTTTGCTGCTCTGGAGCACATCAGGTGTGTTTAACTATTTGTTAGCACAGTAGCAAGGAGGAAGGATGACGATTTTAAAGAAGCAACTGTTCCTGTCCATCCGTCTGAGAAGGGTTATGAGGGCATTTCCAAACAATTTGATATCCATCAAAGATTATTAACAAATGGAAAACATTCAGCTGTCAGTCATTCAGTCTGAGGTCAGACCCTCAGAGAAACAAAAACCCAGAAGCTGTATCTGTGACTCTACAGGCCTCAGTTGGCATGTTAAATGTTAAAGTTCATGACAACACAATTACAATTAGTTACAATAGAAAAACGGAACAGGTTGCCAGGGGAAACCCTCTTCTTTCTAAAAAGCACATGACAACAATGTTTAACTTTGTAAAGTTGCATCTTAAAAAAACCACAAGACCTAGCTAGCGCTATGTTTGGAGGAAACCAAATCGACCATATCACCACAAACACCTCATACCAGCTGTGAAGCACGGTGGAGCAGGGGTGATGATTTGGGCTTGTTTTGCAGCCACAGGACCCGGACACCTGGCAGCCACTGAGTCGACCAAGAACTCCTCTGAATACCAAATTATTCTAATGCGAGGCCGTCTGTCTGACAGCTAAAGCTTGGCTCAAACTGGTCATGCACTATGATCCCACAGTAGCAAATCTACAACAGAATGACTGAAAAAGAAAAGGAAGGACTGAAATTAAGAGAGCTGTGCATGAACCAACAATATGCCAACATTTTCATTTTCTTTCTTCTGACCACTACTCATGCTAGGGCCTTCTTCTGGCAAAAACAAGTAGATAATGTTTTTGCACTAAAATTAACATCCGTTCACCGAGGCTTCCTTCATGACACGAGGAGGAAGTTTGAGGCAGACGTTTGTGAACGCTGATGTGAAATCTTAACATGAAACTCCTACGTCCACCTACATGAGTCATCTGTGTTTGTTTGTGTGTGTGCAGCTCATTTGTCACAAACTCTGCACAGATTTCTTTATCTGTGTACACAGCGGGCTGTTAGTGAAGTCAGTGAATGCATCGAGGCCTGGCCTTGGGGAAATGTGTCTCTGGGAACAAATTATGTAAATCTACGCCTGAGCTACTTTGTCTGCAAGCAGAGGTCGGGCGCTGTTGATCGTGCGCACTGTGAGAATTTTTCAAACTTTACCTCCGAAGGCTGCATTCTCGACGGTTATGTGGAAGTTTGAAACTTTTCCGAGTCACACTCTGAAGCAACTTTGCTCCAGACAAAAGTTTTCACGGTCTGGCAGATTCCTCCCACCCAGCCGAGGTCTTCTGTGTACAGTTGTTATGTGTTCAGTGATTGCATGTGATGTGCCGTTTCGCTGTGTTAAAGAGTTAATCTGCTCGAGCCATCTTTCAATAAGCGCTCTGCTTTTGAAGTCACTGGAGCGTACTCCTCACTAATTCCCAACACGACTTTTATCTCCCTCCGTCTCTCTCCCTTTTTTTTCCCCCGTCTTTATAAGCGTATAACTTTCTCTCTCTCTCTCTCCCTCTTTAGCAAACTCTGATGCCCTAAATGCCATGATTCATGAAAACAGCATTGATTCGGATGGGTAAGTGTGATCTCACGCTGTGAAGAACAAGTCCATCTGTTATTAAAAAGGCTTTCTGTCTTTGTTGGGCTCATCTTAAATTAATTGGGCAAAGACTCTGTGTACTAACTGGTTTGACCACCAGGTGGCACCATAAGCCTCCTTGAGACTCTATGTGTCTGAGTGTGTCTGAACTGAGAGCATGCAGAGCAGGACAAGAAGAGTCAAGGCAATGAGGCCACAGTTTCCTCCTGATCCTATCCACATTGGCAGGGTCCGATTGGGGACACGTAGCTGGGGACCATTCCCAAAAAGCCACTGTGCGCCACTTCACTGTATTGTGGGATTATTAAAACATAGCAACTGGAGCTGCTGACATATTTCCTCATAAGATTCTTGGCTGTAAAATCAAGTAATTAAACAGAGTGACAATATAAGAAATGCTGGAGGCTTAAGAACAGCTGAGGCTTTGGATGGTTAGTCAGTCGAGTCACTTATCACTTGTTAGAAGAATAATGTTCACTATAGACTTTGAACTGGTCAAATATCGAACTATAGACATTTATAGATCAAATCCACAGTTAACTGTTGGTTAACAAAAACTTGGCCTTAGCAGATGGCTGCCTCGCTCTTAGCCTGGGTCTGCTGGAAGTTTCTTCCTCTTAAAGGTAAGTTCTTCTTCCCCACTGTCACCAAGTGCTTGGCCAAAAGGGATTGTTGGGATTTTCTCTCTGGTATCGAAGGGACTTGACTAAGCAATACAAAGCATCTTGATGTGTTTATTGATGTGAATTGACTTTATATAAATAAAATGGTATTGAACTAAATTAAATTAACTGACAAAATAAGTGAGAGTAACTTTTGAAGTTAGTAAACCTTAGAAGGTATTTAATATATATAGTGTCTAATCTGTTAAACTGAGTTATTAGCATATTGGCTGTATAACTTTTGTAATTTATACAGTTAAAAAAATGTGTAATATGTAGCATTATTAAAACAGTTTTATGACAACTAAACTGATCATCATAAATGTCTTTTCTATAAAAAGTAGTTTGAAAATAGAATAGAATAAATATTAGATTTTGTTGCACATGTACAATGATAGTAAAGGGCCATTCTAATCTGAAATGTGATGTTACCTTTGTTTGTGGTTCCCCTTGTGTGTAAATCAGGCTGCCAAGCAAACTCCAATCTGATTTAAACTTTTGTTTGGTATTAGCTTTATCTTGATGTCGCTAACGAAGAAATCTAGTTCCCGTTTTAAAAACCTTTAAGTTGTTTTAGGGTCAGTTGAAAATACAAAGAAACTTATATAACATAATGCTAACTAGCTTAAGTTATCTTAAGTTGGCTAGCTAAAGTCCTTTGAGGCTTGCCACTTAGCAGTGCTATGAAATACCTGAAGTTCCTTATTTGGTGGTCATTTTGGACTATTTGAATTAACTTTACTTTTGAAGGTCACCACAGCATAAAAGCTATATCTAAAGAATCGGCAGTCAAAACTTGTTTAGCCATTTGATCTGAGCTGCCTCAAATAACATTCAAAATGTTTTTCCTAAGATGTTTTGACCAGTAAATGTGGAAAGAATACTGTTGTGTATTCATCACTCACTTTCACAATGTAGATGGTGGTAAAAGATATATTTCTGCTACATCATTTTTTTTATCATAAGATTATCATTATTCATCGAATAGCAGGTCTCCATGTTAAACGTGTGTTGCGGCTAACAAAACACGAAGCTGTTGGTCTGCTAGAAATCACACTACATACAGTATGTGACAAGAATTATTACATTAAATCATTTCTAATAGCTGCTCTTGAGATTAAATGACATGTCTAGCATACCATGTGAAAACTGGGCAGCTATGAACTAAAGCAGCTAAAGCAGGATCACCCAGTAGTATAAAACCCGATGGCCTGAATGCATATGGAGTGTCTCCCACCACCCGTAAAAGAGCTATGACACGGTGGTGCGTGGAGGTGACGTAAAGACATTACTGGGGGTTCATACGAGCTTATTGTGTAGCTTTAAGTGCAATAAAAGCTGCTGATAGCAGGGAAACAAACCACGGCTAGAGCACTAGTAGCTCTCCTGCTGATAGCGTTGCAACTGGACTCCCCCAACCAGCAAACACAGGATGATGGGCTTTGGCCTAATACTCCTCTATAATCTAGCAGATGTATTTTGGTGAGGTCGCATGCAAGCCTGTAACTTAATGTCTTTACTCCTTGGAGCAATCATACCTCCAACAGAGAAAATCAGTGCAGGGGAAACACCGCTCACCGTCCCACCTCCGTCCATACAGAGCCATGAGCAGAGGAGTGCACATTAACAAGTGTAGTGGTGCTTTGCCTCTAATACAGGGGGAGAAGGAGTTGGGCAGATAGATGGATTAGAGGAGGAGATGCTTGTGACAGTAGGAGTCTAAGTAAATCGAGTTAGTGGAGTATGTTTCCCCCCTCTCTGTATCTCTCTCTCTCCTGCTGTCATCTTTCTCTCTCCGCTTCATATTGTGCTGGGCGGAAAGGAGATAAGAGAGGAAAGGTGTTTTCTTTTGTTGGGAGAAAACAGTGTGGATAAATGGTAGCCGTGTTGCATCTGCCAAGGATTAGGTACTGAGGTATTCTGCTGTGTCACACCGAGTGTCCTGTAACAAACATATAAATACATAAAAGGGAAAAAAACTAGAAAACTGTGAATTCACACACAATCCCCAGCGTCACTTTCATGTGTCTCACTTCTTCAGTTCTCTCTTCAAATGTTTTCCTTCACATATTTCCACCCCTAGTTTGCCTTTCGCTTTTTCATTTTGTTCAGATGGCTCTCTGTGGTAATTTCTCCTGCTGTTATGTCCCACATCTGTCTTTCTCTCTCGCGCGCTCTCAGCCAGGATGGGCAGCCTGCCAGTGGATCACTTAGAGATGGCAGAATAGGAGGGGAAGAAAGGATATCGGTGGGGGTAATTTATTGGATACTTGGGGAAGGAGAGAGGGAGGAAGCAGGAGAGAGGGATGGAGAAAAGGCTTCAAGGAGGAGAGTGACTGACTGTAGTGTCGCCAGAGCTCACTATCTGCCTCTCCAGCTTCAGTGCTTAACTTCCGTTCTCCTGCCATCAGTCCTCCACCACCTCTCTACCGTCCTTTAGTCCCTCTCATCATCTTTCCACAGCAGTTCCTGTTCTCGTCACTTTATCTCCAACATCACGTCTTTTGTTCTTCCGGTGGACCAAAATCACATTTTGTACCCTATTATTGGCCAATGACTCCATCTGCAGTGGCTGCATATGTTTATGAGCTGTCACATTTCTTGGAATAATTTTTAAAAGGCATTAAAGGCTTTCAATGTCCCAATAACCAGATTTGTTGAGGCTTAAAAGTACATAGTGCTCATTAAATTTAATTTAATTTTATTTATATAGTGCAGTATCAACATCAACAATAACAACTCTCTTCTAAAGACCCTTTTTTATCCATCTATTCTCTTCCGCTGTCCTTATCAGTGTCCTGGGGAGGGGCTGAAGCCTATCCCAGCTATCATAGCTACCAGAGCCATGAGCGCAGGTATCAGCACAAAGCAAAGATGACGATTGATTCTACTATAGAAACATGAAGAGGTAGAAGCTGAGGCTTTAAGCTTCATCACTGCCTTTGTTACCTGTTGAAGTTCAGGCTCTGGCTGCTGGGCTGGGGTCTGCATGTGCTCGGCTTTACCATCACTCTGGGTTCTTGGCTAGCTTAGTGTTAGCGTGCTGTCTGTGCAGAGGCTTGCAAAGAGCTGAAGCAGTGGAATGCAGCTGTTCCTGTCCTGGACACACACGAACTGAAATCAGCTGATTGTAGCAAGTACACATGTTTTTTTTCTTTTCTATTTGCCAGGCACGGATAATCTTTGTAATACAGGTCACAACGTAATTTTAACTGTAGCATGATTACTGAATTTAGTAAGATAACGCATTACAATACTGCATTACTCAAATATGTAACTTTGTTCCAGCACTGGTAAAGACTCCACAGTATTAGAAAAAAAACCCTCAACAAAGATGGCCTCCTTTGAGCAGCACTTGGTGACAGTTGAAAGGAAAAACTACTTTTAAAAGCTCTAGCAGAACCAGGCTCAGGGAGGAGCAGCTATCTGAGGCGACGGGCTGGGTGTGAGGGGAGGGAGGACAAAAGTCACACCGTGGAAGAGAGCCAGAGATTAATAATAACTAATGATTAAATGCAAAGTGGTGTGTGTGAACACACGGGGAGTGAATGAAGAAGAAACTCTCAGAGGAGGAAGCTGGAGACAAACATCATGTGACGCGACACCCTTCGCGTCTGCGTTGCTTCTATTTGTGGGCTTATCTAATTGTTTACTTATGGTGTGTCTGAAACTTCACCTGCAGCCGCAGTAAACTGCTTCCATTTTTACTTTAAAGATAATCACTGAGGGTGATTGTTCTCAAAGAGCTTGTCAGTAATTGTTTTGAAGTATGAAATATTGATGTGTCATTTCTGCAGCGGCGGGCTGCGATAAGGGAAGCACTGCAGAATCCAGCGAGCTTAAATGCTCTGGGTAAAACGGGCCGAAGCCTTTAGCTCGTGTTGGGGTTTGTTCCTCTTACCTCACATTTTGGATGTTTACAGTTGTTGACCTATAAAAGATTTCTTAGTTCATTTCACAATAATATTGTATAATTAATTCATGAAGGCTTTTAAAAAGTGGCAATCTGAAGAAAGAGCTGCGAGGATCACACATTTCTCCTCCTTTATCTTCAAGTCCTCCGCTCACCCCCACCTCCCCCGGCACTCCCACTCCTCCAATGACACCTGTATCGCCGGGGGCGCCCCCGGGAGCAGCCAAGCACACCTGTAACCACCTGCACACCATCGGGGGCCTGGGAGGCAACAAGAACATCTGCACCCGCTGCAACCAGAAGAAATGGCCGCTAATGAGGAAGCCGTCAGCCCGCAAAGCAGAGCTGCGGCACAGTAACTGTGTGGAGGTCACAGTCCTGGCTGTAGGCAGGTGGGCAAGTGTGTGTGTGTGTGTGTGTGTGTGTGTGTTTGAATCATAACTGAAGGACAAGCCTTGATGATTTTCCTGCCTTTAAAATGTTCTCAGAATCGCATCACGAGGTGGTTTAATTAGCAGAAGTAAATGAAAAATGACACACTGTTTGCCCCAGAGGGACACTAGGCTTGAGTGCACACAGACACACACACGGCGCTAACAATCAAACATTAACTCTCGAAAATATTCACACTTCATTTAAAAGGCACAAGCATCTCATGCAGTTTGATACCACACTGGGAGGTCAGAAACTTGTGGTCAGACTGCTCCACGTGCCACTGTTAACAGCACAGGTCCTCACAAAACTGAGACACGAACATTAATAAGCAGACTTCTAATATCTTATTCAGGATATCACCAGGACTGTCATGTTGACTAGTGAGTGTTCACTCAACTCTAAAGCATTAATCGATGACAGGAGCTATTCTTACAATTTAATAGACATCAAGCTGCTTGCAGAAAGCTTGTGTATTTGGTCCCCTTGTAGAAAATCAGCATAAAACATGACCTAGCTTCAGGTTGGAAAAGCCAATCCCGAAGTACCTGCATTCTCTCTTAAAGCCACCAGATGGCGATAGCTGTGGTTCCAAAAAGAGTTCTGGTCCTGTAGAAGTGTGTAAGAAAATTAGTTTCTGATATGGTGAACAACTTTTGATTGAAAAGTTGTTCGCCAATGAACATAATCCTATTTTCTGGCTCTGGTATTGACCTGAAACTGGCAACTGAGCGCATAATGTAATCAGAAAGGGAGCCGAGGGCTGTTGAGGCGGACAAGTCGCCCCCTACTGGTCATGAGGGCAAAGCATGCAGCTTTAAGGCACTTCTCCACCGGGTTCACCTATGTCCATCTTTTACAATGTCTGTGCAGGGAATTTGGACACCCTCATCATCAACCCAATGATCCTGCAGTGTGCAGGAATTTTTCTGGTTCTTCTTGTGTTTGTGTTCAATGTCCAGACTTTTAGTTTCAGTAATTATAAGAAGACTTCACCACAGTGAGAATTAAATCCTGGCAGTGTACTCCCATCATAAATCTAGTGCCGCTGTGTCCTAGATCCAGTTTAAAGTAAAGAGACCATTTCTCAATCCACCAGTGAGGCCGGGAAAGTGTGCAGCCTCTTCGCCGTCACGCAGCCTTCCTCAATGTCCCGCTGAGAGCTGATTGGGATGCGAAGAGGTTTCTTTTCATTTGCGCACTTAGATGAATGGCGCCGTATGCACAGGGGTCAGCATGACCTGGATACAAATATTCATTTGCTGATTTAATTAAAGCTTTAGAGTGGGCGGATGAGAGAGATGTCATGTTTAGGTGAGTAAGAAA